CGAGCCGAGTCGAGAGGATCCCATGGAAATAATACACAGTAGCCTTCATCAGGTTGTTGGTGTGAGGCAATCACGTTCTGAGAGGAGGAAGGGAAACAGGGAGGGGGGAGAGAGAGAGAGAGATTGGTAGTATAGGATACGCCTTGTAGGACAACTATTGCAGGTATTAATACCTCCTGGTTGGCGTATAAGGAGATGCTAGGTCGACCTTCAGCCCCTGGCCAGACCGCCTGGCAATACTTGTACAGCAAACAAGGGTCATTGCACACGGAAGGGCAGCGGTGAAGGCACGATATTCTTTGTGCACTGACTAATTACATTAGAAAATGGTTACGTTTAAATGCACCACATGGGCAGACACATCATTTAGTGATGTATGCATGCATGCCTTTATTTCAATTCAACCGAAACCCCAACTTTGTTTCTTTTTTCCCCGTGAGTTTACCCATACATAGCGCTCCCCCCGCCCTCATTTTAGTCAAACGAGCTAAGGCGCCTGGGAAGGGATTCAAGGCAGTGTACTTGGTCGTAATGAGAAATGGACGGCCACGCCCGCCTTCTATGTCATTACAGTAATCATTTCAGACCGACGCTGCGCCTCTCTCCCGAAACCGATTTTAATCCTCTGTAAACGGGTCCCGGCATACAGCTTCCGAAATACAGTACGGACTGTTATGAGGTGCATGAATCCCGAATCCCAAGTACACTAGGGCTTTTTTGTTTTGTTTTAAGTCTTCTCCCTGGGTCCTACTTTGGTAAGCCACCAGAAACAGGGATGACCAAGTATTGCGCACGATACGTGAGCCAATGCCGTGCGTGGGAATACGGCAAAATGGGAGAGGAAGCAATATTATTATACTATGATTGTTATTATTGTTGTTATTTGCAGGAAGGCGCCGTACTGTACACCACACCATACATTGCTCTCGCTCCTCGCTCACACGCCGAGCCCCGCCCCGCGCCGCCCCGGGGAGTGGGAGAGCCTGCCTCCCTCTCGCCTCGCCAGCTACTGGTTATAGCAATTGGGTACACAGTACGGAGCATTACGGAGTAAGGACATGCACATCACGTGGATGGTATTTCGAAAAGACAACAACAACAACAAGGAATCCTGCTTGCAGTGAAACGCAACACACAATACTTTTACGTAAACGCCAATCGTAATAAATGATTTGACTTTGCAAAATCTTAAAAAAGTTGGAATAAGTAGCCAGAGAGGAGCAAGATCAAAGGGTATTATATTCGGGTGGACCCGAAGATGGGAGAGCCCCCCCGCTCTCCTAGACCACCCTTTCCCGCACCGCCCGCCCGACGACCGGCTTTTCTGACCACTGGCCCTTCTCTTTATGAGCTTACGGAAAGCCTAAGTCCGTCACCACGCGGCTGGGCACCGACCCAGACGGCATCATTTTGACCTGCTGAGACTTTACCTACAAACAACACCCCTATACAAGTACAAGCGCCCGCCGAGTCAAAGAGTACACGCTCAGAGTTCGTTTCTCAACCCCTTTTGTAAGAAAGGAAGACGACGCGTGTATGATCAGAAGTGCCCTTAAAGCGCCTGCAATACCTCGATTCTCTTTTTACGAACCACCCAGAAAGGTGTGCA